TCCTCGGGCTCGTCTTCACGACGTGTTCCACGTCGGCCTCCTCAAGAAGTTCCAGGGGCCGCCTCCGGATGCTCCGCCGCCTCTGCCTCATATTCATCATGGAGCCATTGCCCCGAGCCGAACGCAAGATGGGAGACGCGCTGGCTCGTGGTGTGCGCCAGGTATTGATCCAGTGGAAAGGGGAGTCCACGGCGTCGGCGACTTGGGAGGACGTCGAGCCAAGTATCCTGCGTTCCAGCTCGAGGACGAGCTGCTCCTCGACGGGGGGAGAGATGTCATGTGGGGGCGCACGTATAGCCGGCGCCAGCGAACCCGCGACGTGCGCAGAGCCGCGGAACGCGCAGCGCGCGTGGAAGGATAGGATAGTTTCCTATTTTCAGTTTGCTATTTTCAGTCCTTAATTCTAGGAGCAATTGGCTCAGATTTGGTTTAGGCCTTGGCCATATATATGCATGTATCTGAACTCGGGAAAGGAAGCAAGATTATTATCCCATCTAATCTCTCTCTCTCTCTCAACAGAAGCCTACGGCAGAGGGGCAAAACCTCGCCGGAGAAGACGGACCGAGGCTACGATCTCCGTAGCCGAGGGCCAGCTACCCTAGGGCTCGACACCCTTGACAATGTCTAGTGGTTTGAATCAAATAAAGTCATTTAGGCATTTTTCTAATTATGCTCCAAATTTCTGATTGAACGGTTATAGCCAAATGGAAAGTCACTCTTCTGATACTTTTGTGATCTTGATTAGTGTCTTCATTGTTTCTAACATCTTATGAAAAACTAGCATAATTCTTCGCCTTTTGATTTGGATGTCATTCCCAGGTTCTGAAGAACAGTAAGCATTGTAGAGTGTGCGACAAGTGTGTTGATGGATTCGACCATCACTGCAGAGTAAGATCTGTTTTTTGTTATGATTTCCCATGATACTAAAAAATATGATTCCTCACAAGAATTATGGTCTTATTTCCTCACAATTAATGGACTTGTTTTGCCTGCTGCCTCTGTTCTTTTGTAGTGGCTTAACAATTGCATAGGGAAAAGGAACTACAAAGGTTTCTTCGCTCTAATGGCTTCTGCAGTTATCCTGGTAAGTGTGGATCTATTGACAAATGACAAACTGACACAAATTGGAATGTAAAGACGACCCTTGTGTTATCGCATTTACCTTTAACATCTGCAACCAAGTGGGGGCTATGCATATAGTTAGCAATGTTGTTCGGCATCCTTCCTATTCTGGTAGGTTATTGACAGATCTCCATGGTTTGTACAACTTGATCCAGCTTGTGATGCAGTGGTTGTCGGGGGCACTTGTGTTGATTCTCTGTATTGTGAAGCGAGGAGAATTCTCTAGGCAGGTTGTCACAAAGTTGGGAAGCAGCTTCTCAACTGTGGCTTTTGTAATTGTTGTGGTGAGTTGAACAGTTTTTCCTTCCTTTCATTATCGAATATGTGTCTGCTGCATTGAAGTTCATATAATTTGTTGGTAAACTAAAACAATTCTGCTATCTTTGAAAAAGGTTACAAGATTGGTAACAGGATGTTTAAATTTTTTGCAGGCAACCTGCACCATTTTAGCAATGGTTGCAACCGTGCCACTTGTCCAGCTTTTATGTTTTCATATTCTTCTTGTCAAAAAGGTAAGTTGCTCTTGAGGTTCAATTGGGGACTCCTTGAATGACATCATACAATAGCAATAATAGACATGCTTGCAATTTTCATTTTTGGCCCATCTCTGTTATCTACTTTCCTGCTTCCTGAAATATGGATTGCTTGATCACTACTATTTTCTCGATCCACTACATGGCTATTGTTATGAAACTCAAATTAACTATCCCCTTAGTAAGAAACAAGAAGCACTCCTCCTTTGTCCCACTAATGATAGCACATGAGTCGATTGTTTTGGTCACATTTTCTGCTGAAATAAGTCAGTCACATACTACGAGTTAACTATAATTGGTTGGGGAGTTTTGCAAGAAAAGTAGAAACTTTGTGCATTTAAACTTTCTGTTCTTTTTTTCATACAACTTGAGGTTAGATTGCAATCCTGTTCATGTGTGTCCAGGGAATTAGCACATATGATTACATCATAGCTTTGAGGGAGCAGGAGGATCAACAAGAGGTTCCTGGACACCAAAGTCCACAGATGTCTATTATTAGTTCTGTTACTGGTTTTAGCACAGCCAGTTCTTTTGGACCTCTTCATCGTGGTTCATGGTGCACTCCACCAAGATTGTTCCTGGAAGACCAGGTATGAGATAATCACTCGTCTGTAAAAAATCTTATGCAGCCAAGGGGAATAAAGATCTTGGATAGCCAAAGACAACACGCTGTGATACATGACTGAATATGTCCGGATATTGCATGTATTGTTTTGTTAATTAGCTGAATATGTCCTCATTTGTGTTCTACATATAAAACCAACTGAAATCAAACTTCACTATATGTGAAAAAGACTTCTTGATGGTAACATCTGAAGTTTCAAGTGCTTGCATTTGTACGTGCTTCAAGTTATCATGCGTCATGATTAGTGAAGTATGCTAAATTTGTTTTCAAACAAATAGTATAATTTTGTTGTGACAATTGGACAATAAATCAAGACTGTAGTTCCCCTTCTTCCATCTTTAGCAGTTGATACTTATTGCTTGCTCCCCTCTTTCACAGTTCGATGCCATTCCTCCAGAGGTCGGCATTTCACAGAATTCAGGCAGTAAGAAAACCAAGGAAGAGGAAGGAGCAAGGAGAAAAACTGGAGCAGTGAAAATCAGTCCATGGACATTGGCACGGCTAAATGCAGATGAAGTTTCAAAGGCAGCCGCGGAGGCAAGGAAGAAATCCAAAATCCTGAAACCAATTGCAAAACATGGCGCCCCAGACAATGGCAGTAAACCAGATCATATGCCCAGCTACAAGAGACGACTAGATAGAAGAGGTTTCCCTGCTGAGCTCTCTCTTGACCCACTTGCAACTCTATCTGCGAGCGGCACTGAAAGCAACTACAGCGACACAGCAACAGAAATTTGTGGCAGTTTAGCCCCATTACAGCTCGAAGCAAGAAGTGCTTTCCAACCTAGTACTGCAGCATCCACAAGAAATGTTGCTTCATCGCCTGAAAGTAGCTCTGACTCGCCTGATCTCCACCCCTTCCGCACTTCCTCAGCCACAGCTGATGAGATGCAGGGAGCCATGACACATTCAGCTCACAAGGGCATCGAGTTTAAAAGATCATCAAGCGATGGTTATGAAGCATCAGGAGGTGAAGATAGCGACCGCATCCCTTCAAGAATCGTGCACAGATCGTCAAACTGGGCTAATGTCTTTCTGAATTCTAGTCAGGGAGGCCCTCCAGCTGATCTGCTCACGACATTATCTGAAGGTTTTGTTGCTAACGCAAATGTCTTCCTGAATTCTGATTCCTAAAGCATTTCTGGGTATGGCAGAGCGATGTTGACAAGACATTGACTAGTCTCCAGGCTTAGGTTTAGGTGCTTAATTTGTCTAATTACATGTGGGTATTTGGACTAGTTCTAGGGGCCAAATCCATCCGATTACATGTATGTGAAACTGCTTTCACTGCTGGAGTCGCTTCTTTGGCATTCCATTGTCGCCTTTGGCAAAATGTGAATTTGACGCCATTGTGCTTGTTGAGCTTGATCCAAATTACTGTTTGTCGAAATCTCATGGTGTGCCACTGCCGTCTGATCATGGTAAGCAGTGGAACTCGTATATATAGGTTTCTAACAGTGGAACTCGTATATATATAGGGTTCTAACAGTGGAACTCGTATATATAAGGTTCTAATTTGTTTTGAGAATCACTTGTTCCAGCGGCGGCACCGGAGCACAAAGACCGGTGTGAGCGGGTGATTGACCGCAAGGTGAGCCTGGAAGCAAAAACGATCTGTCCCGGGTTGCCGATCTGGAGCCCGAGCAAGAGAAGCCGGGCAAGAACAATGGTATCTGGTTCTTGGCACTTGGGCCAAGCCGCGAGTAGCGCAGCATCTCCAGGAACCAACTTCGGATGGATCAGATATGCACTCCACAATAGTCCAATACCCGTAGTTCATACCGCGAGGAGAGCGAGTTACGAAAGGAAAAGAATCAGCGGCGACGTGCTTCGATCGGAGGATGAACTAACAAAATATGAACACAGTTTTCAGGATTGTCACTGCTACAAGGCTCATGTTTGGGGTACATAGATCACGAGCCTTGAGTTGATTTGCTCAATTTACCCCCAGTCTGCCACATACTAGCTACTCCCTCCATTCCAAGTCTGTCTGGCTTTTATACAGCCTTCATATATTTAGGTGCATGTAGCAAAATCTATATAGCTAGAAAAGTTACAATTTAGAAAAGAGGAAAGTCTCTATCTAAGTTGTTTAACGAATGACTTACCTCATCTTCCATCTCCAAGACCATAAAATAAATGGCACTTTCTGTCTTATGATTTTTACAAAAACGTTTAGTTGTTTATTCTCCTCACAAAAATGTTGATTCTCATATGCAAATATACCAAATGAGATACATCAAACTAGCATGTTCAGTGACTCGTGTGGTATCTGAAGATTTTCTTAGTTATATTGTGAACCATTTAGATAAACCCCTTAAAAAATTGGAGGGTCTAGGAATCCTGTGTTGACCCACATGCATGAACTGCAATTTTGTGTTCAGAAATTCAGTCCACACGAAATATATAACTTATTATCCTATAAAAGAACATATTAGCTTTTTCTTTCAGAGACAATGCTCTCGACAAGCTGAAGAGTTTCTTCAACAGATCCATTTCATGGGTGACAGGGTGAGCCTGCATCCTGGTCTCAAAGGAATGGAGCTTTGGTTTGGCCAGTTTGGGGCTGTAATTTACAAGGAACAATCCTATTGGGAACTAAACAAAACATATATAAACATGAAGGATCAGACACCAGTATAACCAGTTTGCTACTGTCGTAAAAAACACAGGCTGCTAGTTGCTACACAGCAAATAATCATATATAGAGCAAAAGGTTGCTAGACCGGAACACGTTTTCCTCTGTAGCGGTCAAGGAACTGCAGACACAAGAGAAATTGGGCTTGTCAGAATGTGCAATGGGCCAAGCTTCTAGTCCCAGGAACCAAAGAAGAACATTATGTGTCGTGAGCTTCTTACCGATGTCACAAATGGTTGTTGGAAAATCCAGCCAATGATAGGAATCCTCTGCAAGAACACAGCAAGCGTTGGCCAGAACCCACTGCAATTGAATTGCAAGTCAGTGCTCAGGTATAAGCAACTTTTTTAAAGAAATGATGGTGGTTCGTTGAAAACGAATAACTATTTGAAGCACTGAATTTTTTTACTGTCTCAACAAGAAATTGCATATTACTAAAAGAGAAAGGATCAGTCGGTCACAAGAAAATTCTCCTACCTGAAGAGTACAATAAAGCCATATGCCTCTAAGAGCATGCCAAAAAACGGCCACCCAATGAGAACCAGAAAAAAACCAGCACCAAATGAGATAGTACCCTGTTCATTAGAGCAGTTAATGAGAATAATGAGACATTAGACATGTTTAAGGGCAACAGCCCTAGCAAATACAGTGGTTGCAAAACCTTGTAATTCTTTGGCTTGGTGAAGAACTGCATAGTTGATTTCAGACCAATTGTCAAACCCAAACCTGACAGGAAAAGAATCTGAAATGGCATCAAGAGAAAAAGGCGAACCATACGCACAGTGAGTTAACTTAGATCCTCAAAAGATTCAAAAGCAAATTACAAAATGAAAGTTCACTTACATTGCCCATTGCGATGAGCCCCTTGTCAAAGAAGAATACGATTCCCAGAAAGGAGAAGAATATTCCAAAGCCTGTCAGGCCAAGCCCAATCTCTGTCCAAGATGAAATTCAGACGTCACAGATCAATGAGTTGGAAGAATAAACTGTAATATCTAAACCAGCAGCGAATATGCTTCTACAACATCACACAAAAGATTTGCAAGCCAGAATTTTCATCACATTTCCAACATTGAACATGATCTTTTAATACAGCCAAAACACTAAAGAGGTGGTATTTTAAGCTCGATGATTCTACCGAGATTCATTGAAAATTTGTATCAAAACCCAGACAAAACAAGAAGGTTTCAAAGTGGTTGAGTATCTGTTCCTTACAGTGGTCAATCAGAAACTAGCATAGACCTTGCAGCAGAAGCATATCTGATGCTGGTTTCAACTAAATCCAAGCATCTTTCAGAGATTCCACGGTCAGCCAGCAGCTCAGCACTGCAGTTAGTATTTGTGTAGTATGGCAATTGTGTAAGCCTAACCAACAAAAGATCTTAAACTTTAATCTTTGCTTTGCCTAAAAGCTTTATCCAGTTGGTACACTTGAGCCAGTATTTCCGTATTTTTGGACAAACTCAGTTGAGATTAGCCACAGTAACAAACTGCTATGATAATGGTTATCAAGGCGGTAAGGCGAGGTGTGGCGAGTGACTACCGCCTTACGCTTAAGCGAGTAAGGCGTAAGGTGAAGTGATGCCTTACCAACTAAAGGAAAATTTAAAACAGCAGCTCAGAGCAGTATATAGATGATAAAGAAAAAAGGAAAGGAAAAAAGAAAAAGAAAGGAGTAAGAAGTGGTCTGGCCCAGCCCACATGCACCAAGCAGCCCATGTGCTCCTCACCCTCATAGCCCTAGCGTGTCTTCATCTCTCTCCTGCGTCGTGCCGCCGCCGCAACTCTCTGTTTTGACTTCCGCCTCCGCCCATCTCTCTTTCTCTTCCCTCCCGTTCCGCCTCCGCCCACCCCTGGAACAGAGGAGGCGGGATGCTGCAGGCCAGCGCCGATTGGGGGAAGACGGCCACGGCCCGTAGGCGGCCGCTCCTTGCTGCGGCCCGCACAGGCGGCCGCACGGCTCGACAGCGGTTGTTCGGCAACTTCTCCCGTCGGCACAGGCGAGCTGCAGCTTCTGGTTCCCCTCCCGCTCTCCCGCTCACTGCTGTGGAATCTGCCGCGCGCCCGCTCTCTCCCTCCCGCTCACTGGTGTGGAATCTAAGGCGAGTCATCTGCTGTGGCGTCGTGTGTGCAGCGCCTTGGCGCTTTAAGCGACGCCTTGATAACTACATGCTATCTAGGATGAACAGATCAATATACTTGTTCTTTCTAATAACAGCCCCCAACCCACCCTTGAAGAAAAAAAAGAAGTAGCAGTTTGTTACCTCTCTTGCACTTATAACACTAAAACTACCGATCAAGTGATATTGACATATTGTAGACCACACAGGCACACAGTACATGATATACCCTGCCACCCTGATGTATCGTGGTCAATTGTAACACAATTACGAAAAAATGCAGGTTAAGTTATACAGCACATTCCGCACAAGATATTACACTGATGGGTCAACACATTAAAACTACTGCTTACATGATATGAGGCACATATCACAGTTTATATGATTGAAAAATCACCAACTATCAGTTAAAAAAGTCACCAAACATGTTAGACACAGCAAACCTTAAAAAACAAAGTAACATCCCTGAGGATGACTTTCTCACATTCATCACATGTGACAGTGTGTCCACATTACAAATTGCAAACATGTTAGCTCGTTAAGTTCTGAATTATGAAGCAGAAACAAAGGAGGCCAAGCAAATAAGATACACATTCACTGCCCAGCACAACCTATCTATGCTCCTATCAGAAATAAATGGAACAAAAACTGGGAAGACAATTTAAAAAGAGTGGTGACAAGCCCATACTCTTGAGGTCATTCATCTCGAAGGAAACCATCTTGTCTTGCAATGACACCGCGGAGACCAGCACACAAGCCTGCAACAGCACAGGTTGTAAGATCAGGCACAATTTGTGCAGACGAGATAGAACCGAATACGGAAGTGCTAAGCAGAATAAAACCGATCTGAATAATTGTTGAAAAAATACGTGCTGTAATTTAGATCAGATCTGAATAGGGTTCGGGTGCTCGGTTTCGCAGAGAAGGGAAGGAGTTAGGGTTCGGATGCTCGGTTTCGCACAGGAGGGAAGGGACGAGGAGGGGTGCGCATACCTGGTGGATGCTCGTCGCTGGCGAAGACCTGGGCACCTGGAGTTGGGCGGCGGCGGTTGCCCAGTTGCCGGGAGAGAGAGCACGCGGCGACGCCTGACGCGGGGGTTAAACGGGAGAAGAAAATGCAGGGCCGAAGTGGTGGGACGCAGATTCGGTGACTCGCTCGCCTTCTCAGGTTACGCCGTGACTTTCCCTGTCAGGATGCCACATCCACCGTCCGAGCAACATCGAAGGGCTGCAGCCGTTTTGAGCCTAGGATTGCTTCTCTCTCGCAAAGACAGGCGCAACAACGTCCTGTGTGCGCTGCGCTGTCCCGGATGATAGGGAGGACCTCGGCGCCGCGGTGGCCGGAGACTCCGTCTCCGAGTGCTGCGGGCAGCACACGAAAGCTGCCGCCGCACAGGACAAGAACGAGCCTGGCAGCGCCAAGAAGAAATAGGGGAAGAAGAATGTGGTGGTGGTGCACAAGACAAGAGAAGAGCGAGTTAAGCGAGACCGTAGCGGCGTCGACAACAAGGATCCCTCTCAGTGAATGTTCCCAGTCAATCGTGCAGTGCAAAGGTTGCATCCACGACAACTGCAGACAGAAATGGATGCTCTTCGGCTTTTCTGTACTTTTGGGCGAAACCGAAATTGGAAGCATTGAGGCCTTGAGGGACGAAATGGTTGCTCTTCGTAGAGAGAGGTCAATCCTGATCAAAGCTGTGGAGTGCCAAACGACACATATTACCCAAGATGTGCTGATCGATCCTTCTCAAGCCGAAAGCACGCAAGCCTTAGGACAAGGTAAGGAGAGTGATGGACACGAAGCTGAGATGATCCTTTTTTTTTTTACAACAAACAACTTTCATTAACAGCATCTAGCTGTAAGCACCGTTACAGAGTTGATGTTTACAAGCTGGATAGCCATGGGAAGCGGGCACTGTTCAACATGTGCCGGATTGGAACAGACACAGGATTGGTGCATGAGATTGGAATCTAAATCACTAAGTGCCTGTCTTGCTAGAAGATCAGCAGTCTGATTTTGGTTCCTGCCTATCTTGAGGATGGCTGTGCTTCTTTGATGTGTGGAGTTCATGATGATCTGGGTAAATGGCTTCATTCTCCAATCAGGGGGGTTGGAGAGATCAGAGCCATTTAGGAAGTGCACCAACTGTTGATTATCTGACAAGAAGGTTATATTGGTCAGCTGCAGATGGTGGGTGACTGATGCAGCCAGTGCAAGGGCAGCAGCCTCCGCCATTAGGACTGAGGCGGTGTCCTTCAACATTGCCTTGATGTAAACCTGCTGTGGTGGCTGCAGGCGGGTGTTGATGATGAATACACCGATGCCGGCATTCCTGGGAGTGGAAAGAGGCATGTCTGGCGAAGTTGATGCATCAGAGTAGCATCTAGATCCTTGCAGCAACTCTGGACAGTGAACAAATAGTCTGTCCAGTAGTGGTGTCGGCTGCCTGGTCTCCTGGAGCTGCCTGTTCGCCTGGACTGGGGTTGATGTGTTTCCTGCATTGAGAGGAAGCGTACCTCTTTGTGTTTGTGTAGGCTCGGCTGAGGAGCAATGTGAGTGTGGATGGCTTGTCTCCAGGTTGTGGTTACTGCTGGGAGCCGAGGAACCTACATTGGCAAGATTTGTACCTTGGGTAGTTGTGACATTGTCACTGTTTGCCCTACGTGGTCCATCCTGGAATGGAGCTGCATCGCCTGCAAATACAGCTGCCATTGCGGTGTTGTCTAGTGGTCGGAGAGCTTGATCATGGAGCGCGGTCCATTGGTATCGATGGTGGTTGGGGCTGTCTTGTTGATGTAGCTGGCAGGGAAGGTGCAGTAGTGGCTGTATTTGTATCATGTGCAGCCGGCCATCGAAGTTGGAGGTTTGCTGATGTTGGAGATAGTAGGGAAGGTGATGTTTCCTCTTCACTGGTAGAGAACATAGTTTTACTCTCGGTGGAGAACCCCCTCTAATTCCGGTTTCCTACCCGGGAGCAAGCATCCGGGACTAAAGGGGTCCTTTAGTCCCGGGTCAGAAACCGGGACTAAAGGGTGGGTAACACCAACCGGGACTAAAGGTGCCTCCTGACATGCCACGATGGCCGGCACCTTTAGTCCCGGTTGGTAATACGAATCGGGACTAAAGATTTTTTTTTTCATTTTTTTTGTTTTCTTTTTAAAATAGGTTTTCGAAGTCGTATTGTACGCTGCTAATTATACATTTATATGCGCTGTATCTGCCTGTTGTGCAAGATATTTTTGCACGAGTTCAACATACTCTTCCTCCTAGTAGAAGCCTGAACATCGTCCACTGCCATCCCACTGAAATTAAAACAAAAAATTAGAACTTTAATCACAACCATCATGAAAATAGGTATAAACTAACCATAATCATTAAATACGATAAAATAACTCACATTGCGATCCGGACACTTGTAGAAGATACGATCCTTGTTGTGACCCTCCTTCTTCACTCGGTACTCCATCACAATCTTTGTCTCATCACGACACTTGCCGCATGGAATGAGAGGGAGGCCCGGCCTAAGTCGCTTTGGAAACCCATGAGAGGCCGAGGACCCGGAAGCAGTTGCCATCTACTCTCTATACTCATTTTTTAATACACTATAAATTTCTTATTTTATAAACAAATAAAATTAAGAAACTATAAAATTATCTATATCTCTAAACAATGAAGCAGTTGACATCTACTCTCTATACTCATTTTTTAATACACTATAAATTTCTCATTTTATAAACAAATAAAATTAAGAAACTATAAAATTATCTATATCTCTATACTCATTTTTAATACACTATAGCTCAAAAACATGTTTTAATAAATAATCATCCGTACTAGTTGACCTTGCTTACGTGATCATCTCGTGAGCATTTTCTCAATGGACTGACGCACCGTACTTGGTCAAGAAAGAGCTCCGATTCTACGAGGAAGGGAACACGGCCTTCCACGACCGTTGTCGCTCTCCCTCGTAGAATCAAAGCTCCTCCTTGATGTCCGTTACCGCTTGGCAGAGAACATGCTCGCCGAGCTAAACACGGTCCGCAAGTTCAACTAGTACGGATTTTCTATAATTTTCTAACTATTTTCTAAGTTTTTCATTTCATAAAAAGTTAAAATAAAATGTTTAGTCATGAGTCCATAGAAATGACCATATTTTGACCTAGCAACGCATTGTCAATTGTCATTGCATTGCATTGCACCCGGACCGGACTCGGACAATAAAATACTATGGTCGATCGATGTTGTTCTTTGTAAATGCAGTCAAGACGGCGTGATCGGCCGACGGACCCGTTCAACCACCAAATCTATCAGGCCCGGCTGTTCGAGCGTATCGTCAAAAGAGAACGGATTTGCTTCCTATTGCACGGCCTTGCATTGCATCTGTCATACCAGTCGGAGGCACTAGTCCCTATACTCATTTTTAATACACTATAAATTTCTCATTTTATAAACAAATAAAATTAAAAAACTCTAAAATTCTCTATATCTCTAAACAATGAAGTGTGCTAGGCATGCTACAAATGAACGGTGAATACTAGTTTTTAATAGCTACTTTAACCTTATTTCATGTAAATATGCAAGCTTGAAGTTTAAAGGTTTCCGGAGCGTTTAACACTACTCTGCTTGCCGTGGCCATGGTCATTGTGTTCTCGTCTTTTACTGCGGCAGGTAAGTAATCCACATGATATTTCCGTAAATTAACAGAAGAATGGGAGTGTACACACATAACAATCGATTATCGTTTATATTTATATATATACTACGTTTGGGTACGGTGATTGACAGACTACTGCGACGATATCGGGACATGTGAATAAATAACCATCCGTACTAGTTGAACTTGCTTACGTGATCATCTCGGCGAGCATTTCTCCACCGGACGGCACCATACTTGGCCACGGAAGAGCTCCGATTCTACGAGGAAGGGAACACGGTCTTCCACGACCGTTGCCGCTCTCCCTCGTAGAATCAAAGCTCCTCCTTGACGTCCGTTACCGCTCGGCAGAGAACATGGTCGCCGAGATGAACACGGTCCGCAAGTTCAACTAGCTACTTTAACCTTCTTTCATGTAAATATGCAAGCTTGAAGTGATTTTGAGCTCAAATTGCTTACAAATGAAAAAAAAACCACAATAAAGAACCATATATATATAGTGAACAAAATGAGATAAGACAATGGTGAAAAATGAGAGTATGAGATTGGTAACCTTTACAACTGAAGAATCGACGGAGGAATCGAAGAAATCGACAGAGGAATCGAAGAATGAATGGAGGAACAATGGAGGGAGGGAGGAAGCAAGAACACTAGTGCAGTGAGCTTCAAAATGTGCTGAGCTCAGGCTCGGGGAGGAAGAAGGAGACGACCGGGATATAAAGGGGGGACCTTTAGTCCCGGTTGGTGGCTCCAACCGGGACTAAAGGTAACTTTCCAACTCCGGGCGCAGCCACGGCCCGGGAGTAGACCTTTACTCCCGGTTGGAGTCACCAACCGGGAGTAAAAGTATACCTTTAGTCCCGGTTGGTGGCTCTAACCGGGACTAAAGGTCCCTGCCACCTCTGTCTGGCGCAGTAGCCGTTGGGCAGGGGCCTTTAGTTCCGGTTGGAGCCACCAACCGGGACTAAAGGTATCTCTAGTCCCGAGCGCAAAAAATTCCGGGACTAGAGCCCATTTTGGCCGAGGATCAAAGGTCTGTTCTCTACTAGTGCTTCCTGTGCAGGCAGCAGCTGATGATTGTTGGAGATATGCACCGCCACCGCGTGGTGTACCTACCAAGGATTCCAAGTTTTCCTTTGGAAGCGAGTGTCATTTCTTGCTTTCCATAGGTACCATAAGGTGATAAGAATTTTGTTAAAGACAGAATTGGGAGTGGAATTAGAAATGATCGCCTGTAGAATGGGTTGTACACCATCCTCGTCTTGGGAAAGGTTATCAGTACGAATAGGGGGGTCAGAGGAGAACCATACCGCTCGAGGAAGATTGCAGTGGAAGAAAGGTGGGGATCGTCTTCTACAGCTCCATAGGCTGCATAATGTTTATCAATGTTAGTGGAATACCTCGCTGCTCTTTCAACAGTGGCGATAGCCCATCGTACGAGTCGCTAGGTGAAACCTTTAATCAATGGTGATAATTCTTTGCTTTCCCATGCCCTCTGAAGAATCTGGTTTGCCTGTGGTTGTATACTCCTGGATCCTTGCTGCGGTAGCTGGATGACTGACTGGGATCTGAGGTGCCTGTAAATGTTTTTAGTAGAGCAAAGTCCATTGGATGATGGAATCCAGCGTAGTGTGTCTTGCTGGTCACTATCTACTGGATTAATGTTAGTGATTGCCTGAACAGCCTGGTCATAAAAAATATTTATGATAAGATCAACATTCTAGGATCTAGATTCAGGGTGCCATAATTGGCAAACAGTAGCTGGTAGAGGGAGTACAGTAATTGGCAAATGCATGTGATCATGAATGGATTCCCAAAGAGAGCACCAAGGGGCTGACCAAATGGAGGTACTACATGTTGAAAGGTCCTTGTTTGGTTTTGGTAATTGAGTGACAACCTTAGGTGGACTAATATGTTTAAGTGAGATACACAGGTGATTAGTCCACAGGTACATGTGTGTGAGCAACATATGACATGACGGTGATGATGGCTCAAAGATGTTGCAAAGCTCACACATGTGATGATGAAGGAGCTTATTGCACATGAGACATGACATGGAGTCATGTGATCAAGGTGGAGAAGATCAAGACATGACTTGGCTTGATAGACCGGTTGCAAGCGTGAAGGGCAAGTCGGAGGCTTTGGAGCGATGGACCGCGTGGTGGTGAAGCTTGAGCAAGACTTGGCGTCGATGGACGACGGCAACGGTGAAAAGCAAGTGAGGTCAAGATCAATGAACCAATATGATCACGTGATGATATGAAGTGGATCATATCATTGTTGATCGTGTTGGTGCATGTGTTGCATCGACATCGTAAGAGATGGAATGGAATGCGTAAGGCAAAGGTATAACCTAGAGTATTTCATTTCACCGGTTATAGGTGAGTAGAGAAGTTTATGACCAGGTTTAGGATAGATGGCCGTACTATCAAAAGGGGCAAACTTGTTTGCATATCGGTCATCTAGTGTCACTCGAGTGATCTAACTTTGCATCGTCGCTAGGATCGAGTGGCGTGGCAAGTTGAGTGGCTAACCCTTGAAAATGTTTGTGAAAATATGCTAACACACATGCACAAAGGTGATACACATTGTGTTTAGCATTTGGGAGCAAGGGTTCGAAACTTCACCGGCGGAGTACGGACAGTCCGACGGTGGCACCGGCGCCCTGTACAGAGAAGACAGGGTTTCACAGAGTGACCGAACGCTGGCCTCAACTGGACTGGCGCATTCGGTCAGTGGCAGCAGTGTAAGCGCAAGCGTCAGTCTTCGACCGGACGCTGGGTCACTTTATGACCAGACGCATGGTGGGTGCGTCCGGTCCCGCTGGCGTGGCAGCGTAGAGAAGAGGAGAAGGACCGGACGCTGATGCTGTGTCCGATCGTGACCGACCGGACACGTCCGGTCGCAAAATAGAGGCTCGGGGAGCTCTCTGGAAACGACCGGACTCGGACATAGCAGCGTCCGGTCATCTCACTGTGTTGTGTCCGGTCGCGACTTGACTGTTGACTCAAGTCCGGTCGGGCATGACCGGATGCGTCCGGTCACGACTGAAACCTTATTGGAAGTGACCGGATGCTGGGGTCCTGTGTCCGATCTTAGCACTGTGCTGCGTCCGATCGCAACTTAACTGTTGAGATTGGGCGCTTAGTATTTGAAGCCAGAGATGACGTGGCAGCCATCCGTTGACTGGACGCTGGCAGGGTACGTCTGGTCGATACGACCGGAGCGTCCGGTTGTCCCGAGTTTTGCCCAGTGAAGGGGTATAACGGCTCTATTTTCGTGGGGGCTATAAATAGAAGGGGGTCTCGGCCTTGGGTTGGTAGCTGAGCACACTAGAGCCTTGGTGGCTTATGTGATAGTGGTTGGGAGCCCTCTAACTCACTTGAGCTTGATAGTATTCATCCGATCGAATGAGTGAGCGATTCTAGTGCGATTGCATCGTGAGGTTGCATCGAGTGGCACTAGGTGGTCGTCTTGCAAGCCAGTGGTGCTTGTTACTCTTGGAGGTTGCCACCTCCTAGACGACTTGGTGGTGACCTCCGTCAAAGCCCGCAAGAAGCTTGTGCGATGCTCTAGAGAAGAGCTTTTGTGAGGGGCACTGTGCTCGCCCCGCGGGAGCCGCGAAGAGCAACTCTAGTTGAGCGTGTCATTGAGCTACCCTCACTTTTGGGGTAGGTTCTTGCGGTGCCCGGCATGCGGGCTTGGCGGGTGATGCCAATTAGCCGCCAAACCACCAAGTGAGCGATCGACACAATGGAGACGTAGCGTGTTGGCAAGCACGTGAACCTTGGGAGAAAATCACCGTGTCAACATTGTTCTTCCCGTTGGTTTGCAATCCCCTTACACAAGCTTGTGATTATTTTCATATACATTGTGATTGTGTAGTTGCTCTTGTAATTAGTTAGCTTGTGTAGCTCACTAGTTACCTTCTTGCTTGTGTAGCATAGAAGTAGCTTCCTTGCGTGACTAATTTGGTTTGTGTAACCTTGTTAGTCATATTGCTTAGTTTGTATAGCTAAGTATTTGTGCTCTCTAATTTGACATTTGTTGCCTTATTATTAAACATTGCTAGTGAGCTTAGGTGGCTTTGTGCTTTTGCTTACTAGCATGTGTAGGAGCTCCCTCGTTGCTTAAAGTACTAGTGGCATATGTTTGTGTGACCTTGCTTCTAAAATTGGTAAGGTGAGCTCTAGCTAGCCCGGCACCTTAGTTGCTTAATTAGGATCTTTGCAAGGTGCTAGAGAACATAGATAGAGGGGTGTAGTCTTAGCTAGACCGATTGTTTTAATTTCGCACTTGTTTCGGTTAGCCAACGTGATTAATTTTAGAAATGACTATTCACCCCCCTCTAGTCCGCCATCTCGACCCTACACCTGCATGTAATTGGTAAGTGGAGTTGGCGCATAGATCCTGTTTAACCTATAAAATAGAAGACCAGAAAACAAATCGAGGGCTTTTGGTTTTGGCGGTCCAGAAGGAGGTATCATGGTAATATTTAGCTTTAAGTATAGAAGAAAGGAAATGATTCTTGTTAGTGACAATATTCCAAGTAGCTTGTGTGAGAAGACTTTGATTGACCATGTAGAGGTCTCTAATGCCTAGGCCACCGTTCTCTTTAGTTTGGCAAATATCTTCCCATGAACGGAAGGCAATAGGGGATGTTTGGTCATCTTCCTACACGTCTGCCCACCAAAATCTTCTGATAACAACATTAATTCTGTGGATAAAGTCTTGGAAAAAAGAACAGTTGACATATAGTAGATAGGAATGTAAGAAAGAACAGATTGTATGTAAGTGAATCTACCCGCATGATTAAGCTTATTGGCCTTGACCGTAGTTAGCTTGGCCTTGAACTTGTTAATAATAAATTCATAAGCTTTGTTCCTATCATTGTGATTGAAAATGATTGGATGACCAAGGTGCATAGTGTTAGGTAGGAGATTAGGTACAGGAAAGATATTTTTGATTGTTTCTATAGAAGCACTACTTACATTCCTGCTGAACATAATCGATGATTTCTTTAGATTTGGTACCTGGCCTGACCGGTTGCAAAAGTCGTGAAGAATAGTATGCATGTTGGTGGCTTCTTGCTATGTTGCCTCTCCACATAGTATGAGATCATCTGCAAAAAGAAGAGAGTGGATAGAAGGGCAACCGGGGCCAAGAGTGACACCCGATAGGTTAGAATTATGCAATTCATGTTGTAAGCGAATGGAAAGCTCATCGATGGCGACAATGAAGAGGTAGGGAGATAGGGGGCAACCCTGGCAGATACCGCGTTGAGAGGGGAAAGCAGTAGTGGGCTCTCCATTGACCAGTATAGAGAAGGTGGGAGTAGAGATGCAGGCATGAATAAGGCGAATAAAATTATTCTGTAACCCAAGGCGGCGAAGGGCAGAAGCGATGAAATTCCACTCCAGTCGATCGAAAGCTTTAGCAAGATCTAGTTTCAGCAGAAAAGTCTGTTGCTTCCAATTCTTGAGATGGAAGGAGTGGATTATTTCCTGAGTGATGATGATGTTGGAGGAGATGTGCCTGTTCTTAATAAAAGCTCACTGTGAGTGGTCAATATAATCGGGAAGGTGAGGCTTGAGCCTATCGGTGAGCGATTTGGCTATAATCTTATAGATGACATTGCAGAGACTAATGGGCCTAAAGTCCCGAGGTACCATGGGCTGCATTTTCTTAGGAATTAGAGCAATGAATGTTTGGTTTACCTCCGGTGCATGAAGGTCGAAATAGAGAAATCATGTACTGGATCATTGATGTCCTTGGAGATCAAGGCCATGCCAATTTGTAGAATGCGGCGTTGAGTCCCATCAGTCCCGGGGAGGCATTGCTTCTCATATTTTTGATGATGGCATGAAGTTCCTCTATCTGTGGTAATCGAGTTGGTGAAGTCTGTTGTGCCATCTCTTGTATTTCCCTGGTCTACAAAAGGGAATCATTGAATGAGTCTATGTCATTTGAATGTTGTCGGTTGGGGTCAAAGGAAAAAAATATTTTGAAAGTAAGTTTGGAGGGTGTGAGCTAGTTGTTCGGGAGTGGTGGCATGGGAGCCGTCGTTGTTACGCAAATAAGATATCTGCTTTTTCCTGTTTCTTTTGATGATGGAGAGATGGAAGAAGGATGTGTTTGGTCTCCAAGAGTGGCCCAATTCTTCTTGGCCCGTTGTAGATGGAATGCCTCATCCTTGAGCAGCGAGATGTTGGTGCTTTGGTCGGTGAGGTGGGTTTGAAGATCAAAACTCAGTAGGTGGGGGGCATGGACTGTTGTCGCGAAGTCGATCCTCCACAAAGCAGCCTAGCTGATCTGAAATTTTGGGCTTCTTTTTCTCCATTTACGAAGGTCACAGCCGGATAGCAGTGTCTTTTATGCGAAGGAACGCGATGCCGAAGCGAGTCCAACTCATTGCGCCACCGTTTGGTACTCTGTTCCATTAGCCACCAGTTTTCAAAAATGAAAAGATTTATTAGTGCGACGGCGAGTGGAATTAAGGATAGTAAGAATAGGGGCATGATCAACATGCGGAGCATAGGAAGGTGGTAGGCGATCGTTGCGGGATAGTCCAAACACCATTCCGCATTAGCAAGGGAGCGATCGAGACGTTGGAACGTTGCGTGGTCTTTGAATCTTTTGTTCGTCCAAGTGTAAGTGGGCCATTTGTAACCCAAATCAATGAAGCCACACTGTTTGACATGGTCACAAAAAGCATTAATACGTCTTAGATCAGGGCAACCAGGACCTAATTTTTTAGAAACATGCATAATATCATTCATATCGCCCATACATAACATCGGCAAGTTGCTGTTAGTTACAACAAAATGTAGCACTTGCGACCATATGGCATCGGTAGTCTGGTGATGAGGGTCACCATAGATACAAACTGTTGTGAACTAAGGTTATTATCATTGGCGGACGTACGGGGGGGGGGCTGGCTGCAAAAAAATTTTAACAGGTTTTAGCCTAGCCCAAAACATAAGCCTCTCACTGCCAGCAGAGCAGACGACCTCATGGCCAGATGCATCGCCGCAGGCTCCCGCAGCGTCGCTTCTCCTTTGCAGCGTGTCGCAAGGTAGCAGAGTATCATCGCCCCGCCCCGCCGCGCCTCCTCATGGGCTCATGGCTCGCGCACTGCTTCTGTCGCGCCTCCCCTCGCTGGCTCGCTCCTCGCCCCCTCGCGGCATCGCCCCCCTCCCACCTCCTCTGCTCCACGCATCGGCCAGCGAGGATGGGCACTGCCACTGGGCGGGGCGGAGCCAAGAACAGCGTCAACCAAGAAAGACACTGGCACTGCAGCCGAGGAGAGGACAGGCGTTAAGCGGCCCATGGCGCATGCTGGCGCGGTCGGTCAGCCCCAACCGACCAGCCCCCAAGTCCCAGGACAGGCTGACGCCGCTGACAGGTTGAGAACTGTCACTCTATGTGGCTCTGCCCTCTTTAATTCCTCTTTTATTTTTTTCAATCAGTGATCCGATTGGTTTTACTTTGTAGTTGTAGAATGGAAAAAAAATTTGCTAAGAAAGATGCTTCTACTCATACTGCTTCTACTCAAGAGAGTCGGGTTGTGCAAAAAAGACCCCGCATTGAGCTTGATATGAATGATATAGTTGCAGATCCAGGTCTTAGAAAGCCAATTGATGAATTCCACCATGATATTAGGGATGATGCTAGGAGAGCATATTTACAGATGAGTCCATATCAACCAAATTGTGAGTATGAAAGAACAGCGGGTAAAACTCAAACTAGAGGTTTTGTTAAATCATGGTTTACTCAATTTGATTGGTTGAGATACGATCCTGCCAAGGATGCGACCTATTGCTTTTATTGCTACCTCTTTAAGCCACCAATGAACAAGCAATTTTGATGATAATGAGGCATTCACCGAGTAGGGTTCAAAAATTGGAAAAAGGGAAAGGCTTCTTTCTTTGAAGCATACTCAATCAATTGATGGCTACCATAGTGCAAAGCAAGAAAGCGAGCAAATGATTTCAAAAATCAAAGGCAAAGTGTAGAACATGTGTGGACAAGTAACAAGCCGCAGCAGAAGAGGAGGCATATAAAGCTCGTTTAACTATAATGTTAGGCATTGCTAGATTTCTTCTTTTGCAAGCTCGGCATTTCGTGGGCATGATGAGTCTAAAACATCTAAAAATAAAGGGAACTTTTTGGAGATGCTTGATTGGTATAGAAAGAAGGATCTAAAAATTTGCACTTGTGATAGCCGAGAATGCTCCAGGAATAATCAAATGAGTTGTCCAACAATTCAAAAAGATTTGGTAAGGGCTTGTGCAGAGGAGACAAGTGAATTAATTAAGAGTGAAATTGGAGATCGTTGGTTTTGCAAAGTGCTTGTTGATGAGGCTCGTGATGCATCAATTAAGGAACAAATGGCCGTGGTTGTGAGGTATATATCATCTATTCGTGTATTTCATTTCTTTTGTTTTGTGGCTTCCAATTAACACTATGTTTCCTTTTGTTTTATAGGTTTGTCAATGATAAAGGAAGTGTGATTGAGAGGTTCCTTGGCCTACAACATGTTTACGACACCACATCATCTTCACTTTGAAGGAAGCATTGGTTTCTATGCTTGCAAGATACGGGTTATCTATAGCCAAGGTTAGAGGACATGGATACGATGGAGCTTCAAACATGAGAGAGGCGTTTCATGGGTTACAAAGGCTGGTATTGAATGAAAACCCTTTTGCTTTTTACATCCCTTTGTTTTGCTCATCAATTGCGACTTGGTAGTTGTTGAGCTGGATGTTGTGCTTCAACTGATGATTTCTTCAATTATGTCACTTGCTTGTCAATATTGTTAGTGCTTCTTGCAAGAGAAAAGATCAACTTCTCCAAAAACACCATGATACTCTTGTTCAAAGAATTAGATAGTGGTGAAATAACTCTGGGAGAGGGAAAAACCAAGAAACTAGTCTTGCTAGGCACGGTGATATACGATGGGGTACACATCACAAAAAAATTAGTACGTCTTATGCTCATGTGGGAACTCGTGCTTGAGGTGTTAGAGAATATTAGTGATGATGGTACTTGATGGGGAAAAAACTATAGCATCTGGATTGATAGAAAAAATGGAGTCATTTCAATTTATGTTCATATTGCATCCGATGATTAGAGTATTGGGGATAACTCAAGACCTATCACAATGTCTCGCAAAAGAAAAATCAAAACATTATTCGTGCAATAGGATTGATTGGTTCGTGATGAGAAATATAAATGCCATGAGGGAAAATGGTTGGGATGATCTTTTAGAGAAGACAAAAGTCTTTCTTTGCCAAACACAATATAGACATTCCTAATATGGAAGATATGATACCAATGAGAGGTCGTTCAAAATGTCGTGGAGCCAAATATGTGACCTACTACCATCATATTCATCATGGGATTTTCAATGTTGTCCTTGATCAAATAATTTGTGAGTTGAACAATCGATTTCCAGAAAGATCAACTCAACTATTGAGATGTGTTGCTTGTCTTGATCCGACAAATGAGTTTGCCAACTTTGAGATAGAGAAATTAGTTGAGCTTGCTAAGATTTATTATGCTGACTTTAGTGATTATGAATGTGAAAAGCTAAGAACTGAGCTTGAAAATTTCATGGATGAAGTCAAACATGATGAAGAATTTTGCTCTTGTATTGATCTTGGTGGCCTTGCTGAGAAGATGGTTAAAACTGATAGACATACATATTTTCCTTTGGTGTATCGCCTCATTGAGCTTGTATTGATATTGCCCGTGGCAACAGCAACAGTTGAAAGAGCCTTCTCTGCTATGAATATTATCAAGACCGACAGGAGGAATAAAATGAATGATGATTGGATGAATAATAGCATGATATGCTATATTGAGCGGGATTTGTTTGCATCCATTGAAGATGATAAAATTTTAAAGCGCTTTCAAGGCTTAAGAAACCGTAAGATAAACTTGCCACCCAAGGTCCCAAGGTGTGTATTGTTTTAGAGCTTTTCTTTGTATTTGTTATCTTGGTTATTGAAGAAGTGTTTGACATTTAAAAATTATGTAGCATTGAGCGTGGCGGTTCAAGTGGTGTGAATTCTTGAAGATGGAAGACTCCTTGTATTTGGTACTTTTCTATGCTTATTATCATAATTCTATGTATCTTTGACTTTGAGCACTTTGAATCAATTATCTAATTCTATGCTTATTAGTGTACTGTGTCCAGCGAGCAAATATTTTTTGGCCTATGTTGTTTAGCCCCCCCCCCTGGTCTGTTTCTGGATCCGCCACTGGTTATTATTACATAAGGCAAATATATAGTTGGCAGAGTGATCTACTACGGTGAGATGATCCTTGGAGCGCAGGAATTGAGCTGAGAGGCCGGTCTTTCTGTTCTTTTTCTTTTTAAAAAACAGTGACATGATCTACATAGAACTGATCTAGTCTAGTCATAAATTAAATTTATGAGGGGAATTGATGATACTTCTATCTATTGTGGTGGTGTCAGATTGATGTCTCGGGGTTCGCAAAAAAGGATAGATGTCTCGGATGCACAAAGAAGAAGAAGAAGAAGAAGAAGAAGATAAACTCGTGTCAGTGAGCCAGGATATGGACATGTAGTGTTAGGCCACTCTTAACAGGTTTTTAAAAAGATAGAAAATTTGTTGAGTTGGCATGTTAATTATGAAAAGAGAGATAGAGAGAGTTTGTCACAATTACCAACACAAAAGCTAATGTGGCAGTTTTGACAACTGTCATGAAACTCCACATTGAAATTAGCCTTATGGTTGTTATTGTCTATTTATATGTAGCCCATCTAAAAAGAGAACTTGTTTGATTGTCTACACATGCGTATAGTTTTAAAATTGTGGTGCAATCCTTTATGTTCAAAAAAATTTGAGGGGCAAGAGGGTTTGTTTGTTCTTGTCATGTGCATATGTATGATAACCTTCTGATCGGCCACCATGGCAGCACCACCGCTGTGCACGCACCGACGCCATGTGTCGCACCCGTGCACCCTGCTCGCTTGATCGCCATAGCACCCGTGCCCTCTACTCCCTTGCTATCCACTTCGCCGGGGCCGTCTGTGGCCATGGTCGTGGTGTCCTGAAGGATGAGCATGAGAGAGAGGAAATGGGAAGAGGAAGACGAGAGGAATTTGGTCCAAATATTCTGATAAATGCATCGAATGGATAATTAGTGGCATATTCCGAGATTTATAAATTACAATGGCACGCGTATAATATTGTGAAATAGTAATGGCATATCTCGAAAATGTAACATTTACTAATGGTATCCAATTAACCCTTCTTGTTAATAGGCACATTATAGGGCTCTCAAATTTATATATGTCCCCGGCCTATGAGTTAAAATAAAATGTTGGGTGCATGCTCAGTTTGTACGTGATGATCCCATATTTATTTGCTGCTAATCCAGCTCCAAATGCTCTAAGTAAGTTCTAGCTGTCTGTGCAGTGCCATCTGCCGAGTTTCTTTCATACATTTCGAGAAAGAAGCAGGCTGCCATGCTGTGGCAGATAGCACATGTGCAAGAGAGTGACTGCGTGTGTACACATGAGTAGGACTTCAAAAGCTTCAAGTTCAAAGATGGTGTAGTTTAAAAAAAAACGAATCAGGCAAGAGAGTTGTCGATTATATTAATATTAAAAAACAGATGAAGTTTGGACTGGACAAAAATAAACAGATACAACTCCGGTCGGTTGGATTGGGATACACCGAAACCCCAACTCCAAGAAGTAGAAAAAACAACTCTAAGTGGTTGGAATGGTACATCGACACGAGCCGCAACTCAAAAAAAAACACATGCTTCACCACCACCAAACCACTATGAACTGGTCACGGCACTGCACCAAAGATGGTGTAGTAGTTGAAGCTCTCTGCTGTTGTAAGGACATCGATTTGTGAATCGAACTCATAAGCGCCAAAGAGTAGTGATGGCAGGAATCGAGGTAAACTTGTGTCCTTGACCATAATAATTAAGTTTAGGAGCATGTAACAGCAAAAGTTCGTCCCGTTAGAGAAACAACTGCACCATAGCATGCTGAGTTGCATCCACTAATGCACGCGCTCCTGAAATGCATGCTGAGTTTCATAGTGCCTGGGACCTGGGGCGCATATATATCAGTATATCATTAACAAGAAAAGCAAGTCGCAAATACTAGCCCACCAATACCGAACAACAACAAAGACAATATCGATAGTCGTTACTCACAAGAGTACCAGTTTTTTTTTCCTGTTATCTTGGCTATGTGCTTTTTATATAGAGATCAGAAGTAGGTTCATAACTATTGTATTAACTCTATATGTAATTGTCTTGAATCAATAAAAGTCTTCCTTAGTAAGAAAACGACTTAACAAAAGACTAGCTTTCCACTATCCAATGTAGCATCCGAAAACTGATTTTTTTTTCTATATTCATGATGTATCAAACAGAGAGGCAGAGACCACAAGCACAATTCTATACAAGACTAGAAGCTAACAGCTTTATCCTAGGTTACTTTCACCACACTAGTACTGCTAGTTTTATTGCCCACACGCACCCTCGCAATAGGAGAGGCACGCCTCTACCCTCCATAGGCCGCACTCTTTCTCTCCTGCAGACCTAAAACGGAACCAGCCTTCTCACGGTCGCAGTGCCTCCCATCCCCTCTCCGGCGACCCTCTACTCTCCGTCAGTACCACAGAGTTGCGCCAGCTTGCCACACTACTCTCGACTCTCTGCCTCTGCTACCGTGAAGCTGACCTCCGCACGGACGTTCATGGCCTCATTTCCGCAGCTAGCCCGCTAGAGCTCTAACACCACCATATACATATCTCACGCTCCGATCTCGCGTGTCCCCCCCACATCTCTACCCCTCTCTCGCCTCGCTTTGCCTTCCCTCTCTAGCACTGAAGCAAAATGGCCTCTCCCTCTCTCGCCAACGCCATACATCTTCTCCTACCGATGATCTTGGCCACAGCTCTTGCTGCCACGCACAACCACGTGGCGTCTGCTGGCGCCGCAATGTTAGAGCTGCGTCGCAAGGTCCGACTCCAAGGCGGTGGGGGAGGTGACCACCTCGCCAATCTGCTTATGCATAATTTTTGCAAGCACCTATCCGGCGTCACTCTTGGAGGAAATCTAGTCAGTGACAAGATTGGGAGAGCAAGACCCCGTTGGCCGAACCAGGGGTCATGCCTCCCAACACAGTAGAAAAGGTTTTAATACCCCTATAAATAGTTTAATTTGCAGCAGAAAAAGACATTAAATATATTTATCACACTTAAACATGTTATTATATTTGTCCGGTCCTTTTAATCAAAATTACTGGTTCTGCCACTGCCCCGATGCACTCGTTTCCATCTTCATTATTAGTTGCTAACTTGCTAATTAATAAGGCGAGCGAGATCATTGTGTATGTGCAGGTTGTACTTCACTGAGCTCAAGCTCGGCATGCTAGGAAATGCGTGCCATCTTCAAGTGGACATTGGGACGGGGAGCATGAGTATCAATTGTTTCAACTGCGATATGTGCCAAGCAAAAATGGATTTAGGGTATACTGCCTATCCCTGTCTTAATGGGTGAGGGTCGTTGTTGTTATACTTGGAGCTAGCATGTATAATTGATAACGAGGGGCGGACCCAGTACACAAGGAGCGGGGGCACGTGCCCCCCTCAAATTCTAGGTCCATTATTTGTAGCTGTGGTGCCAAACTAGCACAGGACCAGGCGCTTGATGGGATTCTTGGTTTTGGTCAATTTGATTCCGCGATTCTGTCGTAGCTTGCTGCTGCATGTAAAGCGAGGAAATTTTTTTCTCATTGTTTGGACACCACTAATGGTGGTGGAATTTTTGTTATCAGAAACGTGGTGCAACCTAACGGGTTTGGTGCCTAACACGTCGTATGCCAATTTATACTAGCTAGCAACTAGTACTATACTCTTCTTTTTGTTTTTCCCTCATATATGGCACGTTGCCTACTTAGGGCTGATTTGGATCTCTCTTTTTTTTAGAGTATGCGTGACACGTTGAAAATTTACCATGCATGTAGATCAAACTATAACGTAAACCTAAACTAATTGATGTTGGTGGAACTACCCTACTGCTACCTCTAGATATTTTTACTGGAAATGAGGTGACATCGTTGATAGCGGCACTACATTGGTGCATCTCTCGGAAGTTGTTTACAAGGCTGTAGCGATAGCAGTATGAAATCTTGCATGCACCTGCATCAGTTCTCACACATATACGGAGTATATATGTGCTTATACAATGCAAATTTATTTTGGATATTATAGCTATTCGATTGACACAGTGATACATTATTATACAATTTTAAGGACTTTCAGCGTTTTCAGCATTTGAAAGGTAAGTTGGAAAGACCGACAAAGTTCTGTAACGTGTCTTTCAAACGGATTGACTTGTTAGATTTTGCGCTCTTTTTTCCACAAATTTTACTTTTGCAGAGTCGATGATGTGTTTCCTAAAATCACGTTCCATTTTGAGGGAGATCTTGAATTGAATATTTATCCACATAACTACCTTTTGTCTAACGGGTAATAAGACTCACCGAATTAGGGGGCAGAACTAGCACAAAATTTGAGTGACGATTTTTTACTAACCGACCTCTACATCTATACAAAAGAAGACATATTTCTTGTAAGGGAACCTAGAATTTGAGTGGGGCACGTGCCCCTGCTCCTTATGTACTGGGTCCGCCCCTGCATTGAGCAACTCAGTGTTGATATATATTACTCAGATATATAATCTTTGTCAGTGTACGTGCACAGTTAATACTATAACATTTTTCCCTCTGTAGAGTGACTGATATTGCGTGGGGCTTCAGAACGGAGTATCAGTCCAAGATAAGAAGGATATGGTGATATTGGGAGGTAGGAATTGATGGTTAATTTAACTACTTTTTTCTATTTATTACTTCCAACATTATAGTGTTTTTTCAGATTTAGTCCTGTCAAACAAGGTGGTTGTTTACAATCCGGAAACTCAACAGCCTGTTCGGTTGGCTGGTTCGTATCGTTACTGGTTCGTGAAGAAGTACTGCTGGCTGGTTTGTATGAGAAAAATACTATTCCGGCTGAAAATTTACGATCGTTTATGGTAAGCCACAGCCAAACGAACAGGCTGCAAGTCATTGGATGGACAGAATACGACTATAAGCTTCTCACGATTTGAATTTTCTCATTTTTTTTCAAGACAATGGCGTGCATGATGTCCATATTTGTTTTGGAAAACGGTGTTTTTGCCCCCGTCCAGAAGTTCAATTGTGTTTTTATCCCTATTTTTTCAACTTTGTGATTTTACTCCTGTTATTTTGAAACGAAGGAGCCGTTTGCCCCTGGTTTGGATGTCCGTTATTTAGAGGCTGATTAAACGATTTAAAAAAAACAAAACTCATAAAATCAGATGCGAAGTGACTAAAATGCCCCTTCCTCTTCAGACAAAAAAAAAACAGAAGAAAACTCTTTCCTACCATAAACTCCCAATTCATGGGTTACTCCATTAGCGCTTCGATGACATTTTGAGACTTTGAAACGCTGGAAGAGGCTCAGTGTTCTCTTAGTTCTTCTATGATGTAGCAGTTGGCAGACCGGTTTAAAGAAATTTCTGTGATAGCCTGAACAACATTTAAGCAATCTGACTCCAATAAGATAGGCCCCGAGGAGAATTGAAGGGCTTTGCGAATACCCGACAGTGCAGCTATGCATTCTGCCTCTTCGGCAGATCCACACAGGCTATCGCAGGACCAACCTGAGAAGACCACATCACCCGCATGATTTCTAGCCACAAAACCTGTACCTGCTTGTCTTTTGATAAGGTCATAGCTGGCATGGACATTTAGTTTTATCCATCCAGGAGGAGGTGGCAACCAAGGAAATTCCTTTTCACAAGCTGGAATATTTCCAAGAGGGGCATGCGGTTTTTCAGAGGTACAAGGTGATTTCCCTTTAGCTGAAACATCGGAGTCACTTGCCGCACTTGTGTTCAGGGAGACCAGGTAATTTTCCAGAAAAGCCACAGATACAGAAATAGTGGAATCACCTTTCCCAAACACAATATCGTTTCTGTGATGCCAAATCCTCCAGAAAAGAAGCATTAATTTTATCCTGGTATCTTTGTTAACTCTATTTAGCAAAACCAACAGCCAATCCGGCCCTGTGTAATTGAAAGCTGACTCA